AGGACAACGGGTTCCTTGTTAGATGTATTTGATCCCTTTGACTTTCTTCGTTTGTTGGGTGGCGGTTCGATCTCTGGTTCGCCACGGTCGCGTGCCGCTGCTCGAGACCTTGTAACGACGAGGGTTTCCTTGCTGTCTTGAATGCTTCGCTCCGAGATGCATTCTACTGGAATAACTCTCTTTAACTCAGGATCTGATGTTGACGCCAATGCGGCAAGTGCATCTGCAGTTGTATTCTCTCCCCGAGGTATACGGATTAATTCAAATTTCGAGAAATTTTTAGATAGATCCTTCACCACTTCGAGGTATGCCTCCATTCTTGAATCTTTAGCCTCATAGTCTCCATTAAATTGGTTAACTACTAATTGCGAATCGCAATAAGCCAATATTTCCTTAGCTCCAACTCCTTGTGCTAGTCGAAGTCCGGCAATAAGGGCTTCGTATTCTGCCTCGTTGTTGGAGGCTTTGAATAACAATCGGAATGACTGTTCTAGAATTTCCGATGTTGGAGATTCCAACTTGATTCCCACTCCGGATCCTTGTTTTGTTGAAGACCCGTCTACGTGTAATTTCCAAGTTTGGTTCTCCGGTTGCTCTATCGTTCCAGGTATTGGTAGTTCGGTCAGGAAGTCTGCTAAGACCTGAGCCTTCATACTGACCCGGCTTTTGAACTCTATGTCGTACTCGCTTAATTCCACCGCCCATTTCGCCAAACGTCCGGACTGACTTGGACTATGAAGTATTGTTCGGAGTGGTTGGTTAGTTAATACTTCAACCGGATGGGATTGAAAATATGGACGCAGCTTCCGAGCCGAAGTTACCACCGCGAGTGCGAGTTTTTCCATCATTGTGTATCTGGTTTCCGGATCGGTCATTGACTTGCTCACGTAGTAAATTGGTTTCTGCTCCCCACGGTCTTCCCGAACCAAGACTCCACTAACCGCGTGGTTTGAAACTGATACGTACAAGTAAAGTTTTTCATCTACTTCCGGTTTGGACAGTACAGGTGGAGTGGTTAAGTATGCCTTAAGCTGCCCAAAAGCTTCTTCACACTTCTCATCCCAAAGGAATCCTTTGTTCCCTTTTAGAATTTGGTAGAAAGGCAACGACTTATCTGTTGACCTCGAGATAAAACGGTTCAAAGCCGCAATTCGCCCAGTCAACCGTTGTACTTCTTTGAAGTTTCTTGGAGATGGCATGTTCAGAAAGGCGTTAATTTGATTTGGATTGGCTTCAATCCCTCTTTCTGTCACGATATAGCCAAGAAATTCTCCGGATGGGACTCCAAATGTGCATTTCGCCGGGTTCAGCTTCATTTGATATTTATTGAGAATATCAAAACATTCCTTCAAATGTTTAACATGATCTTCTTTCTTCAATGATTTAACCAACATATCATCTATGTAGACTTCCATAGTCTTCCCGAGGTGATTGTGAAACATTTTGTTCACCAATCGTTGGTAAGTTGCTCCTGCATTTTTCAAACCAAAAGGCATTACCTTGTAACAGTAGATACCTCTATCTGTGATAAATGACGTCTTTTCTTGATCTTCGGGGTTCATCATTATCTGATTATAACCCGAGAAGGCATCCATGAACGTTAACAGCTCATTTCCAGCGGTGGACTCTACAAGTCGATCTATATGCGGGAGTGGGAAACTATCTTTAGGACATGCTTTATTCAGGTCTGTAAAATCGATGCAAACCCTATCTTTCCCATTCTTTTTCTTGACAACGACAGTGTTTGCTACCCACTCCGGATATTGCACTTCTCTTATGGACCCTATCTTCAAGAGTTTATCCACTTCGTCGTTTACTATTTTTGCCCGCTCCACTCCAAGCTTTCTTCTTTTTTGTTTCACCGGTTTGAAGCTTGGATCTACGTTTAGTTCATGACAAATTATAATCGGATTTATGCCCGGCATGTCCGCTGCTGACCATGCAAACGACGCTTTGTTTTTCCTTAAGAGTTCGATCAAAGCTTCTTTTATTTGGCCAGTCAAAGTTGCTCCAATTCTAATTTTCCGGTCCGGCTTGTCTTCTTCCAGTACCACTTCGACTACTACATCCTCCTTCTTCTGCCCACTAGGAAATTTTATTTTTAGTCCTTCTTTTGCGGGCTTCGTTAGTTGCTATTGAATCTTCATACGGTGGCTAGCTAAGTAACAAGTCCGTGAAGCTTCTTGGTCTCCCCGAATTGTTTCCACCCCATTTGATGTTGGAAATTTGATACATTGATGGTATGTAGAGGGAACTGCTTTCATTCGATAAATCCAGGGAGTCCCAAGGATGATGTTGTAAGCTGCGGGCTTATCGAAGACGACGAAGTCCACAATTTTCGATACTTTTTTGGCAAGGACCGGTAGCTTGATTGTCCCGAGAGACATGGCTGATTCGCTTGTGAATGCAACTAATGGAGACGGAGGTCCTACTATGTCTCCTCGGCTGATTCCCATTTTCTCTAGAGTACTTAAAAAGATCAAGTCGACCGAACTGCCTGTATCTATAAGGATCCTTGATACTTCGAAGTTTGCGACGTCAAGAGTAATGACTAGAGCATCGTCATGCGGTCTTTCGAGATGCCGCGTCTCTTCTTCGTTAAATGATATTGAAGCACCTTGAAAATCAATTTCTTCACTTAAGCTTGCTTTGAGTAAGACATTTCGTCTATGTTTTTTGATGGAACTTATTGAATCTCCGCAAAATCTGGAACCTCCTAGAATCACATTGATCTTCCCCTTCGAACTTCTTGGTTCTTCCTCGTTGGATAACCTTGGTCTTTTGGAATCTTGATCTTTGGAGTTTTCCTTTGCTTCGTGGTATTCCTTCACAAAATCTTTTATATCGAATTTAGAAAGATCACCACTAGCCCAAAGCTCTGCGAGGTGCTTTTTAAGAACGCTGCAATCCTTGGTTAAATGTCCGGTTACTTTATGAATGTCGCAATATAGACTTTCATCATGGACCCAAGTGTTTGATCTTCCTTTCCCTTGGAATTGCTTCCCGACGGAATTGTTGAAGGGTTGCGACCCAAACTTCCTTGGTCCTTTGCTCTCTCTAGGCTCGAACTTCTTGGTAGGGATGGTGACTGCCGGCTTTTCTTGTTTATTCCGTTTGGCAAAACTTTCTTTTTCGTCTTCTACCTCCATCCAATTGTTTGCACGGAAGAGTGCATCCTGAATTGTATCTGGTTTATGAAGTATTAAATCTTCTTTAAACCTTGAATCATGTCGCAATCCTTTTCGTAGGGCAGATAAAGCTGATTGCTGTGAGATTCTTGGGAGTTTTGATAGCACTCCTTTGAATTTGGTGATGAAAACTCGAAGTGACTCATTAGATCCTTGCGTTAAGTTCCAAAGATCGGCATCCGAAACGCTTTTATCCATAAGGATAGAGTATTGCTTTAAGAACACGGCTGACAGTTCGTCGAAATTGCTGATCGAACCCGGCTCTAATTGGGTGAACCACATTAGAGCTTGGCCACATAGATTCTCCGAAAACAGCTTGCAATAGCCTGCGTCCTCATCAGCTTCATCCAACTCGACTCTTCCTGCAGCGATCAGAAAGGCTGCAAGGTAGCTTTTTGGATCCTCCAATCCGCTGTAAGGGTCCAACTTGAGCTTCCGGGAATCTTTGATCCTCAAACTTGCAATTCGCGGGATAAAAGGGGTTCGCCTTGCTTCTTCAATGACTCGATTGATGTCTGGCTTCGAACTTGTAGCCTGATGAAATTTTGATTTCATTTCTTTTAATTCCTGGCTAACCTTCCTCATGGTCTCGAACTGGTCGAGGTTCTCCTGCTCGTACTGAGCTGCAAGTTGTTCTTCATCCCCGAGCTGCATCTCTTCTTCCGACGTCTGAGCTACATTATTAGTAGCACCGGGAGTTGTTTGTCCGCTGGTTTCATTTCGTGCAGCGGAACTTGGCGAGTTGAATATCCCTCTTCGGGTTCCCACCGGGTTTCCTGCACTTAAAGAGCGAACACGAGTTTGTATATTATTGACGTTTTGACTAAGAGATACCTGGGATGTTTGCAATGTATCGACGGCCTTCTCCACATCCGAAAATTTTTGTGATATGTCCGACATGGTTTGCTGCATAGCTTTGAGGGTTTCGGCCAATGATGTCTCAACGGCGTCTCCTCCGGACATTGTCGCTTATCTCGGGAATGTAGAAAAGAAGAAATCTGACCACTCAAGAATCCTGATGTCCCCACAGACGGCGCCAAAATGTGGATGTCGGATTTACACACTCAAGTATTTTGTTAAGTGGGAAAGATTATTCTTGAGGGACAAAAAATGAATACGTAAGAACTTGTAAATTGATACGAGAATTGCTATATTATTTCTCTCTTTAGAGGAAGATCCCCTTTACATGGCCATTGGCCTCTATATTTATACATAGCTAAACGACATTTAAAATGAGTAATTAAGTACAATTATTTCTTCTTAAATGTGTCCGTTTTGATTCTTCGGCTTTAAGGCTCAACGCTTGAATTTGAGTTGACTCTGATCTTCATGGGCCTCGCCTCTTTTGGCCCAATTGTCCTTGAACCGACTTACCCGTGTCTTCTATACCGAACTCGCGTCACAGTGCAGTCACTTCGGATTCTTGAAATGGTGACAACCACTTCGACCGTTCCTTCGGCTCACGGGTCCAATGGGCTTCATCCTTTGCGGGCCATTATCCTGATTACGCGGCAATCTTTGGTTGGTCTCGTACTTCTGGTGCGGGATCCGACACCAACACACAGGTAAAAGGTTTTATAAAGATCCAATAGTGTTTCGTTAGAAAGGAACTAATTTGATAAATACTGATTACCCTCGGTTCCAAACCTAGGAGACGTTACCATTTGCTTCTTTTTTGTTGTTGCTTGTGGAGCAAGAGATGAGTTTTTTTTGTGTGTATCTGAAAATGAACCTTCACTGTCAACCATTTAGTTTATGGATACGTGTATACATATGAGTTTATACTTTATTCATCCTTTTTTACAACTGCAGGTGGAATCTGTGAAACGTATTTTCGAAAGCCACCCAGAAATGGCATTAATGTTTCGAGCAAAGAACCAACAATTGAGGACTTCATGCATAAATGTCCTCCTCAACCTAATCGAGACGATGTGTGTGTCACTGCAAGACCTTTCCATATATGACTTGGGCCAAGCAGAGCAAGCACTAACATACCTGAATAATTCGGGATTTAAGGTGGAATGGTTGGAGCGTAAACTGGAGGAAGTAAAGGAAAAGAAGATGGAAGAGCACATTGGTAAGTCTCGGATGCAAGAATTAGAGAATGACCTGAAGGTCTTCAAGCAGAAGTGCTCTGACATAGAAGATCTACTGGAGAAAGAGAAGGAAGAACTCAAGAACTTGAAGAAAAAGTGCTCGGACACAGAAGATCTACTCGAGAAAGAGAAGACAAAGGTGTTGGCCGCCGCCAGAGCTCCTCCTCTAACGTTGAATGATTTTGTCTGATGACTTAGGCTCCGCTAGGTGTTATGTTCGTTTGAGTCTAGGTTTCTAAATTAAAGTCCTAGCATAGGAAGCTAGAGAGACTTTTGTTGAAACTGGAATCTCCTATATTTTTTAAAGAACTAATCTTTTTGTTTAGAGGACAGATTATTGCCGGCAAATGTGTAATTAGCAATATTCAGTATTTATATTAGCTTATTAAGCTAATTAAAACTTAACTTTGATGAATCCGTCAAAATTTTACTAAGTAGAGAGTAACTCTTAATTAAACAGCACCAAGTGGTCACAGTAAGTCACTTACAAATAGATATATTATGCAGCAGCCTAATTACAGTCAAGTAGAACTCTTAAGGTTGATGTACTCTCGATTATTCAACAACATACATAGTAATGCATGCACATTTTTCCAGATCTAGCTCTATCCAACTCATATAACATAAGATTGGCAGCCAATTCTTACAGAATGCTCGCACAATGGTTCAAAAATAACATGATTTATGGTTTCTTCTTATACACGGCCACATCAAAAATAACATCTTAATTAATACCCCGGTTTTCCAGATTTACTGACACCAAAACACAACCATTCAAGATTTGTCAGGCAAAATATCGTAAGCTTCGGAAGAATTTTTAATTTCCAAGAGAATGATAGGAGTGGCTGAATGTCTCGTCCGTGACATCATCTTTGGTTATCCGATTCAGTCTTTTGTGCAATGTGATATCCTGATTTAACCATATACTTCTCAAATTGATTGAAATGTCATCCGAAATAGTCCGGCTTATTTATATCTCCTATAGGTATTGTCTGAATTAACGCTAACAATTGCAAAAATAGCATTTTTGTAATTAATCAACCTCTAAATTGGCATTTACAAAAGAATTGTAACGATTTTTCAAAAAAAAAAAAAAAAAAAAAAATTGTAAAGAAGGATAAATTGAGTCGAAATGGTAAATTGGGCCGAAGTCCATAATCCATGAGTAAAGAAGACCAAAGGTCCAAAGCGACACAAGCGTCGAGTCAGTGTCACTGGGGTTCTAGGGTTACGCTTCTCCTCTTCAGATAGTTTGGTTTGTGACTTGTGAGGAGGAGGAGGAGTCTTTAATGGGGAATGAAGAAGCTGATAAGAAATTCACTTGGGTGATTAAGAATTTCTCATCTTTGGAATCTAAGCCAATTGATTCTGATGAATTTGTGGTCGGTGGCTGCAAATGGTAAGAAAATACTACTTTGTCTATTTTCGTCCAAATTTAGGTTGAAGAGAATCATCCATTGTTTTATTTTTTTGCTTGCAGGTGTCTTGTGGCCTCTCCTAAGGGATATAAGAATGCTAATTATTTGTCTCTGTTCCTGGTGGTTGCTACTTTAAAAACTTTGCCTTGTGGTTGTGGATGGAGAAGACACATAAGATTTCGCCTCACTGTTGTAAATCAAGTCTCCGACAACCTCTCCCGACGAGGAGGTGAGTTCTATTTTTGTGAATTCTGTTTATGTGTGTTTGTGTTTGTTTTGAGTTAGATCAGTTCTATCTTTTCGTGGTCTATAGAAAAAGAAGAATGGTTAGATGAATACCGTACTATCTGTGGGTATCAAAAAATGCTTCTCCTTTCCGAACTTAATGACAAAGAAGGTGGATTTCTTGTGAACAATGAAGTCAAGATTGTTGCGGAGGTTGATGTTCTTCAAGTTATTGGCAAATTAGATGTTTCTGAGGATTCTCAAGAGGTAGCTCAACCTCTGAAAAGGATTAAGCTAATTGATGGTGGTGTTTCGGTAAACGAAAGCATTGATGTCAATGGGTTTCAAGTTCTTCCTTCACAGGTAAAAGGTTTTATAAAGATTCAAACTTTTTAAGAATGTCCTTGCCAATTCCATCCAATAGCGTTTCGTTAGATAGGAACATATTTGATCAATACTGATAGCTCTCGGTTTCAAACCAATGAGACCGTTCAGTTTATAGATATGTGTATACATATGAGTTTATACTTTATTCATTTCTTTTTACAACTGCAGGCGGAATCCGTGAAACGTATATTCGAAAGACACCCAGACATGGCATTAGAGTTTCGAGTAATGAACCAACATATGAGGACATTATGCATAAATCTCCTCCTCAACATAATCGAGACTTTGTGCCAGCCACTGAAAGACATTTCCATTCATGAACTGGGCCAAGCAGAGAAAGCACTAAGATACCTGAAAGATTCGGACTTTAAGGTGGATTGGTTAGAGCATAAACTGGAGGAAGTAAAGGAAAAGAAGATGGAAGAGCAGATTGGTAAGACTCGGATGCAAGAATTAGAGGAAGACCTGAAGGTCTTCAAGCAGAATTGCTCTGACATAGAAGCTCAACTGGAGAAAGAAAAGCAAAAGTGCTCAGACATAGAAGCTTTGCTGGAGAAAGAGAAGACAAAGGTATTGGCCGCTGCCAGAGCTCCTCCTCTAACGTTGGATGATGTTGTCTGCTAGGTGTATGTTGGTATGAGTGTAGGTTTCAGAGTTAGCACAGGAAGCTAGAGAGACTTCTGTCGATTGGAAGCTCATATATTTTGTCAAAAACTAATCTTTTTGTTAAGAGGACTCGCTAGGACTAGGATTTTGTTAGTTGTCTTTCGTGACTATGTAAACGGATCATCGCCGGGAAAGGTTAAGCTACTAATTGTACTTTTTAATGTTCATTTATAATTGTACTTTGGTCTTAAACCGAGTTTATTTTTGTGTGGTTATTCATCAAGGAAAAAATATTCCCCTCTGCAAAAAGGCTTTTTTAGGTTGACGAAAGTATTTTTAAGCAGAGTTCAAGCAAAACTCTGAGGTTAATTGATTTACTAATTAGGGTTATGACTACCAAATGTATCTGGAACAGATTTGGGTTGTGGGTTATTACTACTTCTTTTCCTAAGCAACCATCACTACAGGAAATGTGGGTATTAATAGCGGCCGAAAGACGCAATTATTCATCTACCATAGCGTTTCCTTAAGCGCTCTGACATCGCCCGTTATAGAAAATCGGACACTTTTGATAGCGGTTTTTCGTTGTGCTATAGTTAATTGAACTAAGATAGCGGTTATGACACTGCTATCATTAATATTTATAATAACGTGTAATAATTGTTATGATTGGGTTGTACCTATTTTCATGATTTGATTTTTCTACAATATTTATTTGATTAATTATTTCAATAATTTATATTTTTATAATATTTATATTTTTGTTAATTATTTTAATTGTATTTAAATCATCTTTACTGTGATTTTTGGATTAAAATTACATATCAAAAATAAAAAATACAATATTTTATTATCATTATTACATGAAATAATATACAACTTCATCTTCAAGCATAGACTTAGCAGCTCTTACAATCTCATGTAATTCACAAAACCTAACAGTCCCATTGAGTAGTCTATAACTCAAATCAATCCTATAACACAATACATCTCGCCGCCTTGCTTCTTTTGCTGCCACAAGCTGCTTTTTCCAACACCTTCATCAATACACACACACACACATTGAGTTATACAAAGCTAATTACAGATAGATCAGAACTTTGGCATAAAGGAAGAAACTATACCCAAGAATTTGAGAAACTTTGCACAAGAGTAACAACAAAAACATCCATCAAGCTTCATGAAATTACCAAGACTCGTAACACCAACTTTGTTTTCTCTAAAAGCACATTCCAAGTGACAAGATAAGCCACATAACTCAACATCATCTGATTTCTCAGGCTCACAAACTAACCAAAGACTAGGGTCTTAGTTTTCATCGAAATTATGACAAACACAACAAGAACATCTCTTGCAAAAGGAATCATCTTTATTCACATTAGCTCTACAAGATGCGTTCTTGCAGATCCATGATGATCTCAAACACACACCACCACCACTACCATTGATTAGAAAACTTTAATCGAAGCCAGTTAATACTGTTTCCATCAAACTGAAGTCTAGTTAAAGGATTCAAAATCATCTTGCTCAAGTAATGATTCAAAATCGTACCTTTAGCCGGAGACATGGCTCGGAATGATTCTTCCCAATCGAAATATGTCAAAATTGGATAGAAACACAACAAAAGGCGAAGCTTGGAGGAAGAGTCTGATTTGCAGAAACAGAGAGAAGAAGAAGCTAATGGTTTCATCAGCTCGGTAGAGGATGCGATTCTTGCAGTGAAGAATCTCGCCTTTAGCCCAAAGAGAAGACCTAATCTGAATTAATTTTCTTGTGAATTTTGTCTCAGTCGATGTCAGGAAAGGATGAAAGGTTCAAGAGAATCTCGCCTTTAGCCCCCAAAAAAAAAAAAAAAAAAAAAAATCTCGCCAAAGCCTTTGTTGAGCGATGAACGGATGAGATTACCTTAAACATGCAGCCGCCAAAGCCTTTGAAAGGCTGAGATGTCGCCACGTCATGTATCCGAGTGAAACATTATGATTGGATTGAGTAAATTGATCAAGTATTAGATCCGATGAATGGCTGAGATCTCGCCACATCAGCAATCCGAGTGAAACATTATGATTGGCTTATTTTGTCTATAGGCATAAAAATGTGTTTTTACTATTTATATAATTTTAAAAAAATATATATTGATGAATTAATATGTTTATGAGTTATTTACATGATTAGATAATTTTTTCGCAATTTAAAAAAAATATTTTGCAGCGTTTTTAGAAATGTGAAGGTAACACATATGATTGCCTTAGAATACATGTACACTAATCTTCTTATTGTGTAAATCATATTGTTGAAACACATTAATGATGTTATAATTAATAAAATGATAGAATTCATTTATGTTATAATAGTATACTTTATATCATTAATATTAGCTACTATTTAAAACATTGAACCCTAAACCCTAAACCCTAAACCCTAAACCCTAAACCCTAAAATATTTTTAAAAATGAATTTTATTTATGTTATTATTTGTTATAATTAATATTATTACTATTTCAAACAAATATAATCCAAAAACCTAAACAATACATTTCATACCCTAAACCCTAAACTCTATACCCTAAACTCTTTAAAATTATAACTTTGTTATTATTTTGTAATTATTAATATTATAATTAAATATTTATGTCTTTTTGAGATATTTGGTTATATTTGTTTATATTTCCTTTTTTTATTTAACTTTTCTTTTACAAAATTCAAAAATCATTTTAAAAATCTTTAAAATCTTTAAAATCATTTAACTTGAAACCTAAAGTACATACCTTAAAATAATTAATTCAATTTTTTCCAATTAAATTTTTTTCCAAATAATTAATTATATTTTTGCCAAGAGATAATATTAATCCTAAAAGTTTTTTCTTTTGGCCATTGACATTGTCATTTCTTACAAAACACGAATATGTTTACACAGGGTGTTACAATACGAAGAAGCCAATGGTAGCAAGAGATAGAAAGATTTTAGGATACAAAGAGACATAAAACACATGAGATGGATGATCATTCCAGTTAAGATGTTTTAAGTTTGTGTATTTGTGTTTGCATTCTCATATATATTTTTACCAAGAGAAAACATATATATGCCATTAGTAACATAAGAAAACAAAGTCAAGTGCATGTAATAAAAGAAAACACAAAGCGTTCGACACTTAAACTAATTGTAATAGCCATCGTGGATCTCTGAGAGACCTCGCAGTTCCTGCTGACTTTCTTTTTGATATCAGAGAAGATCATTCCCCACTTGGGTTTCCATGTGATATGAGACAATACTTCAACCTCTTGAAAACCAGTCCTGTAAGTAGCTTTAATGGCTTCTATAGCTCCTAATGGAAGTCCATCAAAGGACATTGCTTCAGGTGGTGGATTTGGTAACGAAACCACAAGCAACAAGAGGTTTGGATTCTTCACTGTCACCTATCAAACAAACTCATAAAATCAGAAAACTGAACAAGAGCATATGGATCTTATACAAATCTTAAGAGTGAAAAATTTCACCTGAACATGGTAACAAACATCATCAAATGCAATCCACTGATAATTTAGCTCCACAGCTTTATCAAGACTGAACAAAAATAATAATGAAGACCTAAAACTCTACAAAAAGGATTGAACTTTTCTTCCATTCTACAAAATCTACAGGATGTGGTCGGAGTTAGCCTCAGGTGTGTCTTTTTCACTCGGCAGTACAACTTGCCAAAACTTGGCTAAATACTAATCCCATTCCTCTACAATCATTGTTCCTTTGCTGCTTCCCGTAAAAACATGAAAGTCTATGTTAATCGCACTAATAAAAAAAACAGTCCAAAACAAAAAATGCAGACTTTGCCAAAGAGAAGAACCTAAGAACACACTTAAACTGCATCTACGATATAAAGCTTCCTATGAGATCAAAACAAAGTATCAATATTTAACCACCTTGCACATATGAAACAAGCGAGTATCTTTTTCTCCTACCCAAATAAGAAACTAAATTATCATGAAAAATCTGGTCATAAAATAACTTTGATATACCTCCTCATGTTCATCATCAAACCAAATAAAGGTTGTGATGAGCGGGCAATCACATCTCCACTTCCTGCAATAAAGACAAAAAAAACAGCAACATGTAAATGTGGAAGCTATACAAACGAAGTACAAATGGAAGTACCACAACCGGTGTATTTTTACCTGGATGACACCACAAGATCACAGGCAAGCGACATCTTGCCAAAACATGTAACTCAGTTATTCTCATGAGCGTAACTCAGTTGCAAGAAGTCAAGAACAGTCACATAGAGATCAATTAGATATCAATTATTTACCAAAACATTAAAATTGATATATCAAAATGAAACTCCTAAACCTTCAACAGAAGTTTCACCAAGCTCTTCCTGCAAAAGAAAAAATTCATCGATGTAAATTAAAACTTTACATGAGACAAATACCCAAAACCCAAACACAATGTCACCGTAAATGTCAAATTCGACTTACACGGATGAAGATCGATGAAAAGTGACAATGAAGGATTGAGACAGAGATCGAAGTACTAGACTGAGATTAAGAAAAAACAATAGAGACTGAATCGAACGAGATGCTGAATTGAACGAGAAATTGATACAGATTGAGACTACACATAAGAGGATCGAGATTGACATTCAGAGAACGAGACGAAGACAGATTTGCTACGATTGAATATGAACATACCTGTTGGAGATCGAGAGAAATCGACTGAGATTGAGTTGCAGATTGTGAGAATTCGAGTGAAATCAAGTGAGATGTGTTGTTGACTGTGAGAAATCGAGAGAAATCGAGAGAGAAGAAGTTTATTTTGCCTTAAGAAAAAAATGAAAAAGTGATGTTTCTTGTTTTAATTTATTTTGCCTTAGCCAAAATTTCACATTTTTCCTTCTTAACAGATTCAATAGCGGGAATTAAACTTTAGTAACCCGAAAATTGGCCGCGTCAATTTCAGCATGTCCCGCTTAAATCATCTATAGCGTTTACAATTCAAAAAACGCTATCTTTAAATCACGATCAAGTCAAACATAGCAGAGACATAAAAACCGCTATCTTTTAGTGCTATCAATACCCACATTTCCTGTAGTGCATAAAACTTATGTTAACATATATTCTCTCTTTTACGACCTGGGAGTTTTTTGTTTTGTCGTACAGTTCGTTAAGGCTTTTGTGTCCGGACGAGTTCCGGCTTTGCCATCTTGTTTAGCTGTTCGGTTTGTCTGGATATGTCATGGCTTGTTCCACTGCCATATTTTCGTTTGTCTTTCAATAATCTCCACGATCACGAGTTGGAGTCTCCTTCGCCCTAAGTGGAGTCTCCTTCGCCTTGTTTCTCTGGATTAGCGGTGTACAAAAAACTCAAAGATTGTTGCGGCTAAGGTTGATGAAAAGAAGTCATTGTTCCTTGGAAAATTTGAATTTCCTTTAAATATTTTATGTTTGAAGCTAAGGGTTTGATACTTTGATTGTTTTATGCTGTATAGTTTTAAAGTTTAAAAATCTCTACAGAATTAGGAATTTTTCTTAAAAAATGAAATTCAAAATTATGTATATTATAAAATAGTTTGAAAGTATTGGCTTACAATGACATCGAAATTATCTAATGAATGAAAACAAAAGAGAGTTAAAAAGACATAAATATCAAACATATACAACTAGTGTTAAGCCCGTGCTCTGCACGGGACCAATAAAATATTGATCATAATGTAAAATTATCATTTTTATTAGAAATAAAACTATAAATAAATAACTAAATTGTTAAAAAAAAGAGATGTAAATTACTAAACAGAAAATATTATCACATCTAATTTGATTATAGTATTCTGCAAAGTGAAAATTTGATAGTATTGATAAACTTCATCAAGGGATTGTAGAGCAAAACATGCATCTTTAAACATAGGATACAATATACCATCAAATCTTCCTAATCTGTTGACGTCACTGTCTCAACTGATGCCGCGGTGACCTTGTCTTTACCTTTGTTCACGTATTTGAATAAATCTTTGATTGCTCTGGTTTGGTTAGTTCTTTTACGCTTGCTCCACGTTTTAGTGCTTCTGTTCCAAACAAACTGTTTAGGAAACTCCATGTAACTCAGGTGCCGTGCTTCCGTGTTGTGTTGTTTCATTCTCATCCACTCCAAAAATTTGGAATCATGTGTATAATCCACATGCATCTTCCAACTGAATTGATAAAATCAGAATTAACATGTATTAAAGAGAAAAAGAGTGAATAAGTAAATGTGACTAAAGTTAAAGCTTTAACCTGAATAAACTTTAACAGTCAATGGCAATGACGACAACAAAAAAGAATGAAGAACGGGAATAGATAGATAGATCTAGCAGAGAAGACGTTGGATAGAATTGGAGTTAAATAAGAGATAAATCAGTTATAAATTGTCCCACAATTTTTTATTTTTTTTTGGTGAGGTATTGTCCCACGAGTTTAGCTAGAAACGTTGTGGTGTTAGTGGCAAAAAAATTAGGGATATAGATAATTTGCTACAGGTTTTTTATTCCTATTAATTCCACATGTTTTTAAAAAGGGTCTAAATATTACGAAGCCCAAAATTTATAAAAACTAAATTGGGCTTTTTTTGTTGTTCCATTGTTGTAATTTGGAGTGGAAGTGGAGGATGTGAGATCGTGGGGATAAGTGTAGAGTAGTTGTGAAGTAAAATGTTTTTTTTTTGTTTTGTTTTTCTATCGATTTTTTTTTTCTGTGGAGTTTTAAAGTAAACGTGAAGAATTGGAACTTAGGACAGATGTCATATGGAGAGAGTTGCAGTTACTTGTAAAATGACTTGTGAATTACTCTCTCTGTTCCAAATTATAAGATGCTTTTGTTAAAAGCACAAAGATTAAGAAGTAATAAATGTTTATTTATTTATAAAAATTTAACCATTAGAAAAAAGGATAGCAGAATTCAAAAGGTCATAAATAAACTAAATAAACATAAATTATGCATAAAAATCTGAAAAAATCTTATATTGTGGAACAAGAAAAAAAGGCTTAAACATCCTCTAATTTGGAACAGAGGGAGTATTGTGGATGTCGGATTCACACACTCAAGTATTTTTATTAAGTAGGAAAGATTACTCTTGAGGGACAAAAATGAATATGTAAAAACTTATAAATTGCTACGAAAATTGCTATATTATTTCTTTTCTTGAGAGAAAGATCCCCCTTACATGGCCATTGACCTTTATATTTATACATAGAGAAACGACATTTAAAGTGAATAATTAAGTACAATTATTCCCTCTTAAATGTGTCCGTTTTGATCTTTGACTTTAATGCTAAACGTTCGAATTCGAATAGATCATGATCTTCATGGGCTTCGCCTTTTGGCCCAAATGTTCTTAGGACCAACTTAACCATGACTTCATCTTCGGACTTGTGTCGAGGTGCAGTCACTTCGGACCCTCTTTATGTTGACAACCACTCCGACTGTTCCTTTGGCTCACAGATCCGACGGGCTTTATCCTTTATGGGTCTTCATCTTGTCTACGTGGCAATCTTTGGTTGGTCCCGGACTTCTGGTGCGGGATCCGACACCAACAAGTATTAGATAAAGATTTTTAGTAAAAAACACAGCCATCAAAATGAAAAGTTAAGATAAAAAAATTACGATGTAATTAAAAATAATTATGGCGAAGATACACGACTCTAAGTATAAAAATATCAAACAACAAGTCATAAATAATGGAGGCAATCTTGCAGAAAAATGCTTTTAACTATTACATAAAGAAGATATATTTTACGAAAAGTTAGAAATATAATATAAATATATTCAACCCTCAATGAAAATATATCAACGACAATAATAATAAAAGACGCAACTTTCTAGAAATAAAACTATTAAATAATCAAGAATGTTCTTCCGGGTTGGCTATATAAGAGCACCTCCATTGAAGAGTTCTCAAATTTGAGTATCTACCAAAAGAAATGAAAAAAAAAATTGAATATATATCTCAAAATGTTGAGATACCCATCTAAAAATATCTCAAATGAGATACTTTTGGATGTGTATCTCCACATTTTGAGATACTCATCAATTAAAAACTATTTTTTTTTTACCTTTTTTTAGACATCCAAAATTTGAGAACCTCCCCAATGGAAGTACTCTAAGCCTATCAATTGATACAACATTGTGGAGAAAAATATATGAAATAATTAAAAAAATATATAAATATATATTTTATGAAGAGCTACGATAAATAGACACAATCATAGAACACATATTTAAATTATTTTAAATTTTCCATATTTTTATTAACTAATTCATAAAAAATACTAGTTAAATCAAAAATTGTATATATTTCTTTGAATAAGAAATATGATTTTTCGCTTTTTTCTTTATTTTTGATAAGGCTACAAAAATATTTCATAATGGACAAAAGTTGTAATGTTTACAATAGAATTTATTTACTACAAAATATTTTTTTATCATAAAGAGAAAAAAACTGGATCGAATCACAAAAAAGTTATACAAGATAAAGTTTGCTTAGGCACCTCTATCTCATCTAGAGGGTTTCAACCCTAGGGAGATAAGGATTAGTTACCGGGAATATTACCTTTTTTCGCCGGATTTGGAGAAGATTTTCTTGTTTTGCATCGTAATCTTTGGCAACTTTCTTTTTTTACTAAGATTTTAACCTAGGTTTGGCTCATCTCCGCCGCAGCCCAACTTCGTTAGCGACCCTCCGGTGCTTTTGAAGGATCTGTGGTGAAGAATTCAGGTATCGTGACACTTACGGATGGAGTTTGCGTTGGACAAAGCTTTACAAGAGATGTCGCTTGAAGATGATAAACCGATCGTCCTAAAGAATCTGTCTAAATACAGTTCATGTGTGAGGAATGAATGCAGCATCATTGGGAAACTCCTTTGCCCGGAGAACCAAAAGATGTCCAAGATGATTCATGAGATACCGCGACTATGGAGAGTTAATAACAGAGCAAGAGGAATTGCTTTACCGAATGATAAGTTTCAGTTTATTTTTGACTCGGAATCGGATCTCTTAACGATTCTTGAAGCTGGAGCTTGGACCTTCAACGACTGGAGCATGACGTTGGAGAGATGGATAGAAAACCCACCAGAAGACTTTCTGAAAATAATCCCGATTTGGATTAGGTTAAGGAATATCCCTGTGAATTACAACACTGAAGAAACGATAAGAGAATTTGCTGAACATGTTGGACAAGTCACAGATGTTGCCTTTGACCCATTGAAGCCGAGAAGCAGAGGATATGTTCGTGTTAGGGTTCTCTTTGACATTAACAAACCTCTGAAGAACAGCAGGGATTTGCAGCTGCCAACAGGGGAGATCGCCTCTATTGGCATTGAGTATGAAAGAATCCGCAAAAGATGCTATCAGTGTTTGCGTCTCACCCACGACAAAGAACGTTGTCCTCTTAACCCTTCAAACCGGCAAGAAATTGCTACGGGAAAGGTTAAAGCTGCGACAACTATCCCAACACGTTTAATTCCTAAGATAAGCAAAGATGATCCTCTCTTTGGAGTTTTGACGGATGATGACGTTGGAATTGACTTGGTATCGGGGAAGCCAAAGATTGCAAAGGAAGTTCTCGATGAGATGCGGCAGTACCTTTCAGTGGTGGACCCGCAGGAAAAGAAAATCAGAATAGAGAGGGTCCGGAAATCAGTTTGGGATCTTGAGAATGATCCGCAAGGCCAGAAGACTCTATTAAGATTGGAAGCCCCTGCAAGATTCACAACAGACATTGATAAAGGAAAAGGATTGGTCTTCGATTTTGAGCATTCAAGTCACTCTTCTGCTGCCAACAAGAGTGTACTAAAACCGACTACTACAGGGGATGTACACGAACGCTCTGCCTCTAGTCTCTATGCAACGGCCTCTGATCAGTCTTGTGGTTCTACGGTGTTTCGGACTGGTTTTATAGCTGGTCCATCCGGAACCAAGACTAAATCTACTAAAACCCGGAGACGACCTAATCAGTGGAAGCGTAAAGCTCAAGCTCTGGAAAAAGGTATTGGGAAACAAACTGATAAAGATGGAGAGAAGAGTGCAGCAATAATGGTGTACAAGAGGAAGGCTACCGATGAAGACACTTCATCATCAAAACTCGCGAAGCGGGATGCAGAAAAGGTGGTTCCGAATGAGGAACCGCCGAAACAAGTATGAGTTTTATGAGTTGGAATTGTCAAGGCTTGGGGGGCACCTTGACAATTCCTACCTTGAAGGAAATGCGGCGTGAGCATTTTCCGGATTTCTTGTTCCTCCTGGAGACTAAAAACTCCAGTGTTCACGTGAAGAAAGTTCAACAATGGATGGGTTATGATCATTCACATATAGTTGATCCCATTGGCTTAAGTGGTGGCCTAGCACTTTTTTGGAAGACAGCATACGACGTGGAAGTTCTTAGTTCGGATCATAGGATCATCGATGTAAAAGTTAAACTTGGTTCTCAACAATTCTTTATCTCTTGTGTTTATGGTGATCCAGTTTCGAATTTACGACAACTAGTTTGGGACAGACTCATTGATATTGGAGTGTCTCGAGATGATCCATGGTTAGTTTTGGGAGACTTGAATGAAATTTTAAATAATAATGAGAAACTTGGTGGACCAGCACGGGCGGAGTCAACATTTTTTCCTTTTCGGAATATGATAAATGATTGTCGTCTACGGGAGGTCCCATGTTTTGGAAACAAGTTCTCTTGGGCTGGAGAGCGTAATGATATGTGGATTCAATGTTGTTTAGATCGGGCGCTTGGCAACGCAGCTTGGTTTCAGTTATTTCCAAGGGCTCAAGCAGAGTTTCTTGAACGTGTAGGATCAGATCACAGGCCGCTTCTTCTACGGTTTGTGAATGAACATGTCTCCAGGTCTGGTCGGTTTATGTTTGATAAGAGGTGGACCTCTAAACCGGAAATCTTAAACATTATAAGAGAAGGCTGGAGTAAAGAAAGTAGTACAGGAACGACGGGAATTCTTCATCGTATCTCCGAATGTAGGAAACTCCTATCGCGTTGGAAACGCAGCTCCAACCAGAACTCTAAGGAACGTATTAAACAGTTAAGAAATCAACTCGACAATGAAGGCCTAAAACGTCAGCCTCATTATGGTTTGATGCGTTCATTGAGATGGGAACTAGCGGAAGCGTATAGAGAGGAGGAATTGTATTGGAAATTACGCAGCAAGGAGAAATGGTTGAGGGATGGAGACCGGAACACCAAGTTTTTTCATGGTAGTGTTCAAAAAAGAAGAGTTCAAAACCGTGTTCTATCATTATTCGATGAAAATAACACGGAACAATTCGCTGAAGGATCGAAGGGTGAGATTGCAGTTGAGTACTTTCGTAAAATGTTCTCTAGCTCTAATCCCTCTCTCATATCGGAAGCACTAGACGGCTTGTTACCACGAGTCACAGAGAGCATGAACACGGAGTTAACTAAACCGGTGACAAGTGAAGAAATTAAAAAGGCGGCTTTCAGCATTCGTGGAGACAGCACTCCGGGTGCGGATGGTATGTCGGGTCATTTTTATCAAACCTATTGGGACATTGTTGGACCAAAAGTCGTTGAGGAGGTTCAACAATTTTTTCAAACTGGTATACTTCCATCCGAATGGAATTTTACGCAGATTTGCTTGATCCCAAAGAAGGTAAATCCATCAAGAATGACTGATTTACGGCCTATTAGTTTATGCTCGGTGATTTATACGATTGTTTCGAAGGTGCTTTGTGCCCGTCTAAAGGTTTATTTACCTAGTTTAATCTCGGCAACTCAAGGAGCCTTTGTTACCGGAAGACTTATCTCCGACAATATACTTCTTGCCCACGAAATGGTCCACGCTTTACGAACAAATCCACTTTGTGATGAGGACTTCATAGCCATCAAAACGGACATGTCAAAGGCTTATGATAGAGTGGAATGGAATTTTTTGGAAGAGCTCCTTCTCCGGCTAGGCTTTAATATACGATGGGTTCAATGGATAATGAGCTGTGTTAGATCGGTCTCGTATTCAATTCTCCTTAATGGGTCGTCTTATGGCTACATTCAACCGGAGAGAGGTATACGACAAGGCGACCCGCTCTCACCCTTTCTTTTCATTTTATGTGCTGAAGCTTTGGTCCATATAATGAATAAATCTGAGCTGGAGGGCCGACTAACAGGTATGAGATTAACCCCGGCTTGTCCGTCGATTCAACACTTACTTTTCGCGGACGATAGCCTTTTCTTATGTCAAGCAACATTTCAAGAATGTGCGGAATTCAAACGCTGCCTCCTCTTGTATGAAAAAGCCTCTGGTCAGATGATTAACTTTCAAAAGTCAGCCATCACTTTTGGAAAGAAATTAGATCCTTATATGAAACGGCTTATTAGTGAGTTCACGGGCATTGATCAAGAAGGCGGTCCCGGTAAGTACTTAGGCCTCCCGGAATGTTTCAGTGGATCGAAGAGTGCTTTGCTTGGGTACATAAGTGATAGATTGAAGTCACGGTTAAGTGGATGGTATGAGAAAACACTATCTCTGGGAGGAAAAGAAGTGCTTATCAAATCGGTAGCATTGGCGTTACCGGTTTATGCAATGTCTTGCTTCCGCTTAACCAAATACCAATGCCAACAAATCACAAGCGCTATGTCCAGTTTTTGGTGGAATGCAAGTGAGGATAAGCACAAGATGCATTGGGTTTCATGGGAAAAAATTTGTAAGTCTAAGGCTAAGGGAGGTTTGGGCTTTAGAGATATAAGAAGATTTAATCAAGCTTTATTAGCGAAACAAGCATGGCGGCTCCTTGATGACCCGCAGTCCTTGATTTCAAGAGTCTACAAGGCCAAATACTTTGCTACTAAGGAGTTCTTAGAGGCCAAGATAGGTTACAGACCTTCATATGCGTGGAGAAGTATCTTGTTTGGTAGAGAACTCCTTGAGAGAGGTCTCATGAAGTCAATTGGTGATGGTGAAACGACTAGCATATGGGCAGATAAATGGATCCTTGACACTTACCCTCGGCGTCCGATTAATAAGGAGCTTTTGATGGATTTGAATCTTAAAGTTTCATCTTTAATCACACCACAGGGTGAATGGAATATTCACCGATTGTCAGAATTATTTCCAGCAGGTGATGTCACACACATTCGATCCTTCCCGCCAGAGATAAGTGTACCAGACCGGAGTATTTGGGCTTACACAAAAGATGGTAAGTACTCGGTCAAGAGTGGCAATTGGGTTTTAACAAGGGAGACAGAGGCAATGGACGTCTTAACCTTGGATATTCAGACCACAAACAAAACCAAAGAGAGACTATGGAAGCTTGCAACAGCACCAAAGATTAGGCTGTTCTTATGGAGAGCCTTGTCGGGTGCCTTAGCAATTGCTGATTGTTTGAGAAATCATGGACTTAATGTCTCTCCTTTGTGTCAACTATGTGGTGGTGTTACAGAAACAGTTTCTCATGTCCTTTTTGAGTGTTCTTTGGCGCAGAACGTGTGGACCATTGTAGATTTGCCTTTGTGGCCGCCTCTCTCAGGGAACTCCATTGCAGCGAAAATTGATCACCTCTTGAACCTAATGACGCAGCAAGATTTGGACACAAATCTGAGGGAGGCTATCCCATGGATCCTTTGGGAGATTTGGAAGGCCCGTAACTCCACATTATACGCTGCAAAAACCACTTCTCCTCATTTTGTTGTTGCAACAGCTTTGGAAGAAGCCAAGGAGTGGTTACAACAGAACTTAGTAGCTCAGCAAGACCGTGGGTACATTGATCCTCACATTGCGACGGGAGGACGAAGATGGACCAAGCCAGCTCCGGGTAAGGTTAAATGCAACATACATTCTTCTTGGCTCAAGGACTTTTATCATGTTGGTGGAGCATGGATCCTACGCAATCACTTGGGAGATGTCTTATTTCATGCTCGAGATGCTTTCCTCCCCATGGTTAACCGGATTGCTGCGGAATTACATATAATTCTTTGGTGCATCCGCAGTTTGAAAGAGTTGCGTATAGAGTCTTGTGAAGTCTGGTCAGATTGTGTAGCAGCTTTGGACGCAATAGCTCGACCGGAGGAGTACCCTAAATACCGTTCTCAGGTTATCAAAATTCAGCAAGTAATACGGGTGATGCGGGAGGTTAATTTCCACCTCTCTTCACCGAAAGCCAATTCTTTGGCCAAGGAGATTGCTTGTAGTGTGACACGAGAAGGACGGTTTACTTCTTACTTAGCACGAGGAGGTCCGGCATGGTTACATAACCGGATTGAAGAAGAACGAAGAGGTAGTTTTTAGTTTTGTCATCGGCCTCTGTTTTGGTTCCTCTGTTTTTCGTTGTTGTTCTATTTTTTCATTCATACAACTTTGTTCCTTTTTGCAATATTATTCACGACGACAAAAAAAAAAAAAGAGAAAAAAACTGTAACCAAGGATAACTTGGGCCAAATTAGTAAATAGGGCCGAAGTTCATAACTCGTAAGTGAAAGAAGACAAGCGAATTTGGTTGTGTGCCACTTGAGTTATAGGGTTTCACGTGTCGTCTTCAGGCTCTGATAGTTTGGTTGTGAGGAGTCGTCTTCAATATGGGAAATGAGAAGTTCACTTGGGTGATTAACAATTTCTCATCTTTGCAATCTAAGTCATTTTTATCTGATAAGTTCGTGATCGGTGGCTGCAAATGGTAAAAAGACAACTATCTTGTTATCGTCCAAATTTAGGGTTTACAAGTAGCATCATCATCCATTGTTTTTTTTATATGGTTTGTTTTGTTTTTGTTTGCAGGTATCTTGTGGCGTATCCCAATGGCAAACATAAGAATAATTATTTGTCTCTATATTTGGTGGTTGCTACTTTTAAAACTTTGCCTTGTGGATGGAGTAGACACATAAAATGTTGCTTAACTGTTGAAAATCAACTCTCCGACAACCTCTCACAACAGCGAGGTAAGTTCTATGTTCGATGTCTTATATTTATGTGTGTTTGTGTTTGTTTTGACTTAGATGATCAGTTCTGTTTTTTTCGTGATCTACAGAAGAAACACAGTGCTGGTTACATCGAAAGAGATTTTACCAAGGGTATCCAGAAATGATTTCCCTTAGAAAACTTAATGCCAAAGAAGGTGGATTTGTTGTGAACAATGAAGTCAAGATTATTGTGGAGGTTGACGTTCTTCAAGTTATTGGCAAATTAGATGTTTCTGAGGGATCTCAAGAGGTTACTCAACCTTTGAAAATGATGAGGCTAAATGATGATGGTGCAGCGTCTAGTCATTTGCAAACCATGGATGTCAATGGGTTTCAAGTTCTTCCTTCACAGGTTAAAAGTTCATGAATGTTCAGTCTTTTTATAGAATGTCTTTGCCATTCCATCCGATAGTGTTCCCTTATATATGAATCGATTTGGTAATTACTGATAACTCTTGGTTTCAAAGTCATAGACGTTATCATTTGGTTTTTGTTGTTGTTGTTGTTTTGTTGATTTTGGGACAAGAGATGGTTTATTTTTGCTGTTTTGGATTTATCAGTAGAACACATCTTAATTCAGAGAAAATGTAGGAAATAACTGCATTGGTATCTTTAAGGTTATGGATATGAGTTTATATTTTGTAAAGAACTAATCTTGTTGTTAAGAGAAGATTTTGTTAGTAGCCTCATTCCTGACTATGTAAACAAATTATTGCGGGTTAAGCTACTAGGTGTATTTATCAATATTCAGTATTTATCTAATTTATAGCTTAACATCATAAATCTGTTACTAGGATCGGACCCGCGGTCCACCGCTGGGAATATTAGTTTACATACGTTGAGTTTAATATTGTGTGTTTTTAGTATAGCGAATCGTATAGTATACTTATAAATATTCATAATAACAAATTGTAGAAAAAATGTTAAATTGTTTATAAATAAACTCATCGTATTAATTATGATTTACAAAATAGAATTTTGTGTTTTAGAATTCTAAAATTAGACGATTCATGGGAATTAGAGCAGTCACTTTAGGTCAGAAACCGCGGATCGAGCCCAAATTATCTCACTATGGGGCAGAATTGGGAAAATATATTAAACCCGCAAATAAGCGGACCACATGGATTAATTCGCAGTGGGTCATAGGTTTAATGGGTTTTTATCCGCGGGTTGGCGGATCAGCCCGCATGTTAGTATTTATTGATAAAATTATAATTTATTCAACATGTGGTAATTTAAACAAACTTTTAATAGTATTTTTATTTATTTATTTATTTTAGTAGTATTTTAAATTTTGGTTACTTTAAAATTATTTAAACAAAATCCATAGACAATCCCGCAAATCTGCATACATTCGCGGGATGGGTTTGTATTTCATATATGCTATATGCGGGTCGTGCGGACCGACTAACTACAAGTCAAAATATTTTTTGCCTTTTCGCAAAACGGATTTAACGGGACGAATCAATTCGGTTTGACAGCTCTAATGGGAATATTATTTAGTTTGGACATAGGAATAATAAATTTTTTAGAAATCTTTAGAAGCAAGTAAGATATCTTTCAATTAATGATAATTGGCTAAAATGAAGGAAATTAATGACAAAAACGTTGATTGCTATGGAATTAGTTCCAAAAATATATGAACAAATTTATTATACGTAATTAATGTATAATATTGTTCGGAATATGCTTTTATAATTAGTTACCATAAGTACAATCAGATTTTATTTGATTTCCATAAATATTTGATTTTAATTCGATTATCATTATTAATTCGAATTTATATTCTAAAAAAATTTCAAAGATCCGATTTCAGAATTTCGGGTCAATTTTCTGATTCTAACCCGACCCATTTTCATTTGTACTTCTCTTTTAATAGTATAGAGATTCATTTGTACTTCTCTTTTAATAGTATAGAGATATAAAAAAACACATTTTACCACGTAGAGAGTAACTCTTAATTGTGCAGCAACCTAATTTTAGTCAAGTTTTGTTTAATAAGTGACACCAATGACACAAGTTTAAACGTTTTCTATTTTCTGCGAGGTTTTGTTTTCCTTTCCTCTGCAATTTTCTATTTCACTGCAGTTTTCTATTTGGGAAAATTGAAAATTAAAGATAAATAATTAAACTATTGTCCATCTATGCATTATATGACCAAATATCACATATTCCTAATTTACCCTTTGTAATTGATTTAACCAATCTTTCAAATAAAATTCATAAGAATTCGTAGGTAAATGATGAAGAAGTCATGAGGATACTTATAACATCGAAAATATGTCGTTTTAATGCCGTTTTGGATGAGAAAAATATGATCTACGAAGTTTAGAACACATCTTCTGAATTTAGAATGTGTATTCTATATATTGTACATGTTCTATAAAATTTAGATAATGTATTCTACTCTCTTTACATGTTCTACAAAATTTAGAACGCATTTCTGTTCTACAGTATTTAGAATGCTAATTTCTACGGTATTTAGAATACATATTCTATACTCTGCTCTTTCTTTCTAACATTTACTCATGTTCTAAAATAGTTAGAAAACATATTCTTATTTTTTTCTATATATTCTACAAAAAAATAGAAAATAAATTCTATGTAATTTAGAATATCTTTTTTAAAAAGAAAAGAAATCGTAAAATAAGGAAATCGAATATAGAAGTTAATATTAAGTATGCAAAATCGAATATAGAGGTTGTATTCTAATTAGTTTAGAATTATTTATACATAAGTAAATAGATTATATCTTTTTATGTTATGGCTAAACATATCGACATTTATTGCTGAAAAAAAACAGAACACAAAACACATTAATCATGGCTGGAAATTTATGTTAAAAAAAATAATTGAATTAAGGTTTAGTAACAAAAGAAGATAATGGAAGCAAGTCTAATGATAAAAGTGTTATGGAGTTGTTTATTTACACACACTAGAGATATTAACTTGTTAATTTACAAACGGAGCTGTGTGTTATGGAGTTGAGCGATGAGATTTTCCCGGAAAAAAAAATCGAAGAAGAAGATATAAAATTATCTACGACAAAACAATAATGGAAAGTAAATAAATGTTGATTGTGCTCTATATTTTCTCCAAATTGATTTTAGAAAGAAACCAAATTAATTTTGGAAATTTTTTATAGTTTAACAAGATTTAAAAAAATCTGGGGATATAATAGAATTTTAATTATATTAAAGCATATATCCTTTATATCTAATTTTCCCCTTCTATATTTTGCTTGGATTTTTACTTTTATTTGATTTAGGTTTTCCTAATTACATTAGGAAATATATGCTAAGCTTTCTTATAAATAATCCTCTAATGCTAATAAAGAGGATTCATCTATCTTCGAAGTGCATTCTTTACAATTCTCAAACCGCTGTTTCTTCGGTGAAAAGACAGAGTCTCCTCCTTGTTTTCTCTAGTTTATCTGGAACTTACTTGAGAAACAAGCTTCGTATCGTGTCTCCGCTTCATCAAAACCTCTGTTTCTTCGGTAAAAAGTAGAGTCCTGTTCTTGTTGTCTCTAGTTTCTCGGTAAACTTGAGAAACAAGCTCCATTCGTGTACTTCCGCTCCATCATCTCCTTTAGAAATGCCTCCTCGTTTAAAAAACAGTGCCAGGAAATCATGTGTACCTCATCTTGATATTCGTCAAGTTATCGCAGATTACATGTTTCTAAGGAATCTCTAGAGGTAAACCAACCTCTGAAAAGGATAAAGCTAAATGGTGACTGTGGTGTGGTAACTTCATTAGTAGATGTCAATGGGTTTCAAGTTCTTCCTTCACAGGTAACAAGTTCATAGAGATTCAATCTTTTTAGATAGGAACTGGTTTTGGGAAAACAATTGTATCTTTAAAGTCGATACCATTCAGTTTATACTCTAATTCAATTCATCCTTTTTAACAACTACAGGTGGAATCTGTGAAGCGTATATTCGAAAGACATCCAGACATGGCATTGGAGTTCCGAGGAAAGAACCAACAGTTGAGGACATCATGCATAAATGTCCTCCTCAACCTAATCGAGACGTTGTGCCAGTCACTGCAAGACCTTTCCATTGATGACTTGGACCAAGCAGAGAAAGCGTTAACATACCTGAAAGATTCGGGCTTTAAAGTGGATTGGTTGGAGCGTAAACTGGAGGAGGTAAAGGAAAAGAAGATCGAGGACCTGTTTGATAAGTATCGGATGCAAGAATTAGAGAAAGACCTGAAGGTCTTTAAGAAGAAGTGCTCTGACATAGAAGCTCTACTGGAGAAAGAGAAGCGAAAGTGCTCTGACACAGAAGCTTTGCTGGAGAACGAGAAGAAAAAGGTGTTGGCAGCTGCCAGAGCTCTTCCTCTAACGTTGGATGATGTTGTCTGATGACTTAGGTTCTGCTAGGTGTTATGTTCGTTTGAGTTTAGATTTTTAAAATCAGAGTCCTAACACAGGAAGCTAGAGAGTCTTCTGTTTATTATCTTTTTGTTAAGAGGACTCGCCAGGACTAGGATTTTGGTAGTTGTCTCATTCATGACTATGTAATCATATTATCACCGGCAAAGGTTAAGCTACGATGAGTTGTTTTCAATGTTAAGCAAGTAAAAAGCTTACCTTTGGTCTTAAACCGAGTTTATTTTATGAGTTTACAATTCATCAACCAAAACAACAATCCTTGTAGCTTTTGGAAGCTGTATTTAAGTTATTTGTAATTCTTCTCTTTTGTCCTATGCGGAGAGTAGCTTCCTGCACAACTGTCATTGTCTCGTATCCAACATCCTTGATACAAACATTAGCAATCGTAAGTGCACACATAACATTTGTGGGTGGTTGGTTTCTTGAAAAACCTCTCTAAATGGCATTTACAAAATTGGGCCAAGCCCATAACACATAAGTGAAGAAGACCAAGCGACGACACAAGCGTGATTCAGCATAACAGTGCCAGTGCCACTCATGTTATAAGGTTTTGCTGCTCCTCTTCACGCTTTGATAGTTTAGTACCTTTTGGTTGCGAGGAGTCATATTCAATGGGAAATGAGTTCACTTGGATGATTAAGAACTTCTCATCTAATTTGCAATCTGAGTTAATTGATTCTGATGAATTTGTGATTGGTGGCTGCAAATGGTAATGAAGAAGACAACTTTGTTATACCTCTAATGTTGTTGTTTTTTCGTCTAGTTTAGTTTTACGAGAACATCTCCATTGTTTTCTATGTTTTGTTTTGCTTGCAGGATTCTTATGGGAGAACAAAATGATAATTATTTTTCTCTGTTTCTGGTGGTTGCTGATTTTCAAAATTTGCCTTGTGGGTGGAGAAGACACGCAAGATTTCGTCTAACTGTTGTAAATCAAATTTCCGATAAACTCCCCTTGCATCGAGGTCAGTTCTGTAAGGTTTTGGACAAAGGAAAGTTCGTGTGTTTGTCTTTGTTTTGAGTTACATCAGTTTTGTCTACAGAAACAGAACGATGGTTCGATCAAAAAGTTCCTGTTCATGGGTATGCAGAAATGATTTCTCTTGCCAAACTAAATGTCAGAAAAGGTGGATTTCTTGTGAACAATGAAGTCAAGATTGTTGTTGAGGTTGATGTTCTTCAAGTTACTGGCAAATTAGATGTTTCTGAGGAATCTCTAGAGGATACACAAACTTTGAAAAGGATAAAGCTAAAAGGTTACGGTGTGGTGTCTAGTCATTTGCATAAGGAAACTTCATCAGTCAATGTCAATGGGTTTCTTGTTCTTCCTTCTCAGGTAACATGTTCATAACGATTCAAACTTTTACAGATATGAGTTTATACTTTATTCATCCTTTTTTATAACTTTAGGTGGAATCTGTGAAACGTATATTCGAAAGACACCCAGACATGGCGTTAGAGTTCCGAGCAAAGAACAAACATATGAGGACATTATCCATCAACCTCCTCCTCAACATAATCGAGACTTTGTGCCAGTCATTGCAAGACTTTTCCATTGATGACCTTTGCCAAGCAGAGAAAGCACTAAGATACCTGAAAGATTCGGACTTTAAGGTGGATTGGTTAGAGCATAAACTGGAGGAAGTAAAGGAAAAGAAGATGGAAGAGCAGATTGGTAAGACTCGGATGCAAGAACTAGAGGAAGACCTGAAGGTCTTCAAGCAGAATTGCTCTGACATAGAAGCTCAACTGGAGAAAGAGAAGCAAAAGTGCTCAGACATAGAAGCTTTGCTGGAGAAAGAGAAGACAAAGGTATTGGCCGCTGCCAAAGCTCCTCCTCTAACGTTGGATGATGTTGTCTGTGGCTTGGTTTCTGTAGTGGTAGGTGCTACGTTCGTTTGAAATCCAGGTTTCAAAATTAAGAGTCCTAACACAGGAAGCTAGAGAGGGAAGCTCCTATATTTTGTAAAGAGCTAATCTTTTTGTTGAGAGGACTCGGTAGGACTAGGATTATGTTAGTTGTCTCATTCATGACTATGTAATCAGATTATCATCGGCAAAGGTTAAAACTACTATGAGTTGTTTTCAGTGTTAAGTTATAATCTTAGTTTATTAAGCAAAATCAAAAGCTTAACTTTGGTCTTAAACCAAGTTTATTTTTATGAGTGTACAGAAAACAACAATCATTGTAGCTTTTGGAAGCTGTTTTTAAGCTTCACTTGTATAGCTATATTTAGGTTGTTTGATCATTTACTGGTAAATAATCCTCTCTATTGACTAATAGTTCATAACATGGTGATTATAGGGAGAGTAGCTTCCTGCACAACAGTCATTGTCTTGTATCCAACATCCTTGATTACGTCTAGCGACAAGAGATAATGGATACTGATCGAATATGGTAAAAACATTTTACCATATTATAGAGTAACTCTCAATCTAACAGCACCAAAAATGGTCAAGAGTAAGCAGTGCCGGCCCAGATAAATATGAGGCCCCATACAATTTTTTTTTTTTTTTTTTTTTGGGTTTTATCTATAAAAGTTAAATTTTGAGATCAACTCTTAAAAATTCAGAAAAATGAGGCCTATTTTTGCAATAATAAATAGATAAAATTTAAAATTTGAGATAAAATCTAAAAATTTCTAAAAACTGAGGCCTACTTATGCAATAACAAAAAAAAATTGGGGCCTAATTTTGGTACTAAAAATCTTCAAAACATTTTGAGGCCCAATACCCATGTATCTTGAAAATGGGTCACGGGCCGGGCCTGAGAGTAAGTCAATTACAAAAATTATAAATTCTACAGCAACCTAATAACACAGCAGACATAATAATGCATGTACATGATTCCTGATCTAGCTCAATCATATCCAATAACATAAGATTTGGCAACCAATTCATACGTAATTCTCTCATGGTCTACACATTCCCTCACTAGTCATGCATTTTTCATCATACTTGCTAGAACATTAGAGGCAGAGCGTATAAAGAATTTATTGTTTTTCATACTTTCATATTCATAAAGGATAAACATACAATTGGTAGAGAATAAGAGAAACTCCAATTTCTAGCAAGACTCGTTGTCCAGAAGAATGTTTTTGGTTAAACTATGTTTTGTTTTTCGTTTGCAATTAATGTCTTTTGGAAGTTACATTGTCGAAATATAATTATAACATTCATTAAATAAATTAAAAAAATTAGAATAAATTTCCATGAGGTTTTTTCTAAACAAAAATAAAATAATAAATTTTAACAGAAAATCACACCGGATTAGAAAATTAAGCAAAATTACATTCAAACTATGCATCTAAAATGCAAAGGCTGATTTAATTTTCCAAAAACAAGCTAAAATTTGAAATGCAACGCCAGATCATCAAAATACAAAAACAAACGAAAACTATACTTCATTTCTTTATATTTTCTTATAGACCATGCATGTGTCGATCTTATTTCTTTGGAATTAAATCTCTTATTTTCTTTTGTATTATAGGGTTCTATCTTACAATACTTTGAGTTCCAACCAAACAATATAAGTGACATTGGCCCAAATCTAGCAAAATGCTTTTGTTCCCTATTGGCGGGTAAATTAGGGAATTATCTCCCGCCACTTGCTTCTAGTATTTTCTCCAAAAGCGAAAGCTTCTTATTTTTTTTGTACTCTTAAAAAAAAAAACACATAACCACAAGCGTATGGAAACGGCCGATACCCGACCCGGATACCGAGTTCACTCGCCCACACATTCCGTTTATACTAAAACGAGTAATGTTTTATAATCACATCTATTTAAATCAAGTTTGAACTTTGAATTCTCGTTGGTCTCGTTTGTTTCCTAACGGTCGTGGTTTTAATTGCGTAAAAACATTTGGCGCTTCCGGGCATATTATTTCTATCAAAGTATAATTTTCATTTATGAATTATGATTGGTTTTAGTTCATAAGTATTTCCAATGTAATTTTTAATAACAAAAGTTTGCTCCGTTTTCATAATTTTCTGTATGACGACTCTTATATATATCTTTTTTTTTGTTTTTGATAGAAAACTATATATATATATATATATATATATATATATATATATATATATATATATATCATGACATGTTTTTGATAATAACGTTTGTCCATATTCTAATTATTTCTAAATCTCTATAGATTATTGTCAAAAGAATTTCTACAAATCTTAATCTACTATGTAACACTTTAAGGATAATTTTTTTTTTGGTCAACCATTTATATGACTTCTGATTATCTTATAATGTTGAAAGGTTGGTTTCCGTTCTAACCAGAACAAAAATTTGTCTTCTGTTATATTATTACATCAAATTTTGGATGACATTTTTCAATATCTTTTAGATGGTTCAATGTGTATAGTACTTATAATCAAAATTCAATTGTACGGGTATAATGAAAATTTTGTATAAAACAACATTTTTCAATATTTTGTACATCTCATGGCAAAATGATATATATATATATATATATATATATATATATATATATATATATATATATATATATATATTTGTTAAAAAAAATTAAAACAAAATAGTGTCTGAATAAGAACAGTCACTATTGAAAATTACAATTATTGTCTATAAGGATTGAGTACTCACATCATTACGTTCTATCAACGTTAATGCTATAATTAACCTGTTCTTGATTAGTATGTCCAGTGTACAAAATAATCAAAAAGTTTCTACAAGATTGCAACAAAGAGAGAAAACTATGAGCTGCTCGAGATAATTCTAATCTTGCAGCGACTAAATCAAAAAGCGGGGACTCCCCAATCATAGAAGCTGTAAACTGGTTTAAGAGGACTTTGTGCGCAGTCATCTTCTAGAATTGGTCGATCAATTTGTAAAAGATTCATATGCGGGTTGTAGCGAGAAACTACACAAGCCCATGTGCAGATGCCCAAATATGATATATTTTTGCTTTAGCTTTTAAGTTATTATGATACTGGTCAAACTTGAATCTCGTACAAAATTTACATTTACACTCTATACTTTTGTATATGCATATGGTTTTGCATCCAAATGAAAAATAAAAAAACAAATCAATCAAATGAACATTACTGATGCATTTGAAGATAAATGATGCATTCAAAGGCATAAACAAACATGACCAAAATGAGTCTAAGGGAAGACTATGACATAAAAGTTTCAAATCCAATTTATTTACTTGATTTTAAAAGTGATTTTCTGTCTAGTTATCAAGAGAAAAATGAGTTTTCTAATAGAATTTTATTCGATTAATTTGTGATCTAAAGATCTCACTTTGATTTATCTTATGAAACTCTCAAAATTATAAAAATAAGAAATAATTAAAACATGTTCTATAGTATAAATAAAATTTAAAAATGTGCCGTTTGTAGATCTTTTGGTGATTTTCTTGATAATGAGTAAGAGTCGTAATCTACTAGTGGTCATTTAAGAATATCAAGCTCTTAAGAATAAACTATTATATACGAGATGAAAAATTGTCAAAATTTAATAGATTCTGATTTAATGTCTTTCTAAATTTCTTAAACGCTCTAATCAGTATTTATTTACTAATAGTATTTTTATGTAATTTACGTCTTTAGTATATGCATTCTCAAGATTATTTCTAAAGAGCTATATCCCAAAAGTTTAGATCTTAGATCAAATCTCATCATGAAGTAAATTTTTGTTGAAAGATAAGTAGCTTGGGAAAACTAGCACACACCATGGATGTTTGTGTGTAGATTAGTTTTGGCATAAGATTGCAACGATTTTTTTCGTACGAAAGCATTAAATGTGCTTGATGTTGGTACTGTCACATATTTGATATACTCCATAGAGCTTGTACTGTTATTTTCTTTGAAAATGCTGATTATGGTATGCATTTTTGCGAAAAGTCTCTATCCATTCAAACTTTCATGTGATATCTTTTAAATCATGACTACCTAAGTGAAAATCACACTTTATAGTTTGCCTTCCCACCATTTCCATTCTCTTGTTTTGCTTGTCGATATTTGAGAATGATGCTACGAAAATACATCTTAGCTATATATTTGTGAATATACGATATGTTATAATGCTATTTTCATAGTTTACAAGTTTTTTTTTTTGTTTTCAAATAAAGAAAACCAACTGAATAAATGTACTTGACTTGGTATTGATAAATTAGATGAGTTTTTTAATTACTAATTAATTTTGAAATTATTATATTTTTGATGATATATATCACAAAAAAGTTGTGTAAATTTTTAATTTTATTATTGGTTATTCTGTTTTTTTTTTCCAAATTATTTTCAATATCTGGTAATTTGTGTTGTTAACTTTTCACTAATAACTGGTAATTCATTCTGAATTTTTCTGACATGTACGATTTGGCATCTAAAACCCAAAGATTTTGACACGTCATACGTACGTTGTAGAATTGCAAGTGAACACGTGTGAGCGCGCCTGTACCAGAACATACCTCTTCTCTCGCATATGTGTGTTTGGAAAAGAAAAAAAAAAGTAGATACTCATTTTTTTAAAATGATTTAAATTAAAACGGATAATCCAAACGGGTCACGGCCCAATAACCCGATAACCGAGTCGAACTCGCTTTCTCCGTAAATCACAATAATCTTTGGCCATTGTGTCGTAGAGGTTCGTTTATCTTTTCTCGACACGATTAGGGCTCATCTTCTTCTCTCTGTACTTGTCTCTCTTAGAGTTCTCGAACTGCATCATCAATGGCGGTTTTTCGATTTTAGCAAGTTTTCTACAATCTTATCGTATCTATTACCCTCCCCTCTCTGTATCAATCTGAATCACTAAAGGATTTGAGTTTCATTGCTTGCTTCACCAGGTCTTTGTAAATGGTTCACGGTTCTTAGATTCATCTCCGGTGTGTAGGATTCTCGTAGATCTTAGATTCGGTTGTGATTTTGGTGTTTTGTGTGATTCGATTTTGTTGTGAAAGGGTGAGATTTTTGGAAGCGTAGAGGAATTTTGGATAGATTCAGATTTAGGGAGTTGATTTGGATCTAGTTTAGGGTTGTTTTGATGGAAGCGAAGGTTCCTAGACCTAGGGGAAGACCGAGGAAACGTCAGAGATTAGAGGATGATAATCGAAAATCGAACAATCGAGGGAAGAAGCAGGTTTTGGAGGTGGAGCCGGCGGTGCCGATATCCTTACTTGGTAGTTATGTGCTGAAAGATTTTGATGACAATGGAGTTTTTCTTGGGAAG